TAAACTGAGCCAGAGCAGTCTGTCCATAAGAAAATGCTGTACAAACTGAAGAACGTTACTATTGTCCCAAATGCATTCGCCCCCACACCCTCCTGGCACACCTTCACTCCATCCCCCAGCCAGCCCTCTGATCAGACTCCTGAAAGCACAAGGCTGGCACTGCCCTGGGGTGCGGTTCCCAGAATTACTTACTTTAACCCAGCTCTGGGACACTAGCTTCCCCATAAATCCCTCAGAACTCTGTGCTTCCCCCTCCATTCTTTCTCCCAAATACACCAGCCACCTCTGGCCCAGGAATCCAGGACCTGGTGTCAAGAAGAGGGCTCCAGGGGTGGGAGGGAGGCAAGGAGGCAAGAGACAGGCCCAATCAGAACCTGAAAATGGATGGGCCATGCTCTGTACTGGCCAGCATCCCATGAGCCTGGGAGCTGAGGATCTGAGCAGGGTGGTGATGTACAGCTGCCTGCCTACAGCCGCCTGCCAGGGGAAGCCAGCCTGATGGCTAATCGGATCAGATGCCTCTCCCAGACACCCCCACTCCTCTACCTCCCCCACCCTGTTTTCCAGGCCCCGCCCTCCCTGACGTCTCCAGCTGCCCTAGCTGATTTTATAAATGACCGTGGTAGGAGGTGGGCACCTTGGCTAATTGAATCAGCACCCATGAGGCAGGAGGCGGGGAGCTGGTTAGCATCGCAGCTGAAAGGTGGTGGCAGCAACAGCCTGAGCGCAGCCATCAGGTAGGAGTCTGAGAGAGCGAGGCCCAGACAATCTGGGCCTTGGTATATACTGAAGCTCCAAAGCGGGGAACTCACCAGCAGGCCCTGGCTGCCCCCACCATAAGCCTGGGAACAGGATTATGGGGTAGACCATAGACGCGTGCGCGCGCGCACACACACACACACACACCTCATATGCTCTGGAAAAAGAAAATACAAGGGGAGGCAGGAGAGAAGTAAAGAAACAGGAAGAATTATTTCATATGTCCATCTGTGCACATACAGAGGGTGCCAAAAAATGCATACACACTTTAAGAAACAAAAAAAAACTGTATTAAAATTGAAATACTCAATATATACCAATAACAAAAGATGAATACAAGTCATGTGTATACATTTTTTTTGGCACCCCCAGTACATAGTTATATGAATCTGTGTACACAGCTTTATGCTGAGCACCAGTCACAATGATATTCTTACATACTCGGATATCACCTGATATCACCTCTGCATAATAATTAACAAATAAGAGCGATCCAAGATGGTGAAGTAGATAAACACCGTGCCTGCTTCCTTCCATGAACACATTACAATTACAGCTAAATTATGTAACAGTCAACCTGGAGAACCCTCTGAAATCTAGCCAAACAGAAGTCCTATAACTAAAAATATAGAGGCCACGTTGAGACTGGTAGAAAGGGTGGAGATGTGGAACGGGTCCCGAATCTCCCTGTGGCAGCTGAGAATCAGGACCAATATCTTGGCTGCAGAGGTTCCCCCCAGAGGAATGAGGGACCCCAGCACCCCACACCAGGCTCCCCAGCCCAGAGTACTGGTGCTGGGGAGAGGAAGAGGAGACCCTACAACATCTTGCCGTGAAAAACAGTGGGCATTTTGACCATTTGGGTGGGACAGAAGGTCACGTCTCCTGAGAGGGACCCTGACAGCATGGCCCCAGTCCTTAACAACTGTCTCAAGGACTTTCATTACCCCTCCCAAGTTCCCCAACACTTCAAGGAGAGCTTTACCTCTGTGTTTCTGTTTGAGGAGAAGGGATTAAGAAGTATAAATTGGTTGTTACAAAGTAGCTGTGGGGATGTAAGGTATAGCATAAGGGATATAGTCAATAATATTGTAATAACTACATATTGTGTCAGATGGGTACTAGATGGGTGATAGACAGGAGGGGATTGGGGTACAGAGTGAAAAGTTAAAGGGCTTAAGAAGTACAAATTGGTAGTTACAAAATAGCCATGGGGAGGTAAAGCAAAGCACAGGGAATATAGTCAATGACATGGTAATAGCCAGGTATAGTGCCAGGTGGGTACTAGACTAGTCAGGGGGATCACTTCTTAAATTATATGAATGTCTAACCACTATGCTGTACACCTGAAATTAATATAAAATAATATTGACTGTCAGCTGTAATTGATTAATTTAAAAAGGAGGAAAAGGGGGAAGGGAAATAAGAGGTCTAAATTTCCAGGTATAAAACAAATAAGTCATGGAGATGTAATGTACAACCTAGGGAATATAGTCAATAATATTGTGATAGCATGGTACAGTGTCAGATGGTTGCTGGACTTATCATGGTGATCACTTCTTTAGGAATATAAATGTTGAGTAACTACGGTGTATACCTTAAACTAATATAATATTATATGTTATATTTTAACAAAAATCTTGTTAAAAAGAAAATAAATAAATAAATAAATAATAATAATAATTAGCTACTAAAAGCAGTTCCTAAGTGTCCTGGTCACAGCAAAACTTCTCGTGGTATCAACAGCTGTTGGGTAGCAGACCCTGGAGCCAAGGACACTTTCTTGGTGGAACGCTCCCTTGGTCTTACATTGCTCCATCCCCCTCGAGAACAGTCTGTCTCCTTATCTATGAATTTGCCCCTTGACAGGGTGGCAAAGAAAACACTTCAAGGAGGGCTTTACCTCTGTGTTTCTGTTTGAGGAGATGGACCCCTAAGGCTCAGGCCTTCATGAATCCATCCTGCAAACATCTCCACAGACTCACGCTGCCTGTAGGCTCCATGTGGGTGGGGATGCCTCAACCCCCACCCCCAGCTCTGGGTGAGGCTTGTAGGTGGCATGAACTAAGGAATGATTCATGTGTCATGAGCAATGGTGCGGTTAAGGGTGGCTGTGCTGGCACTGACACAATTCCCTGCAGGATGACCCACCCACCCGGTCACGTCTCCTGAGAGGGACCCTGACAGCATGGCTCCAGTCCTCAACAACTGTCTCAAGGACTTTCATTACCTCTCCCAAGTTCCCCAAATGCTCCACTTCCCCTGCCCCAGCAGCCTTCACCCACCTTTCCCTAGGGCGCCAATCTACCACTTCCCCTTTTGAGCAAAGAACAAAGAATTCAGAAGTCCCAGGATCTTGAGGTGGAGGAGAGAGAGGGGAGGAGATAGGGGCAATGTCAGCCTAGAGTCTCACACATCTGGGAGGCAGGGTCCACAGGACTCCAAGTAGGATTCTGAGGATCTGAAGGGACAAGCTCTGAAATGCAAGGTCCTCAAATTATCCTCCTTTCTTTGGGGTGGTAAATATTTAAGTTCCCTCCTTCAGGGCCAAGCCCCACTCACTGCCTGGCAGCCGGTAAGCCCCCAGCGGCCTTTTCCACAGGCTAACACTGACCCCTGCTGGGCTGAGCTAGGACTTCCACCTCAAGTGCACCTGACGGAAATTAGAAATTGGGCNCCCCAGCGGCCTTTTCCACAGGCTAACACTGACCCCTGCTGGGCTGAGCTAGGACTTCCACCTCAAGTGCACCTGACGGAAATTAGAAATTGGGCATCCTTGTGGAAGGGGCCCCCAAGTCCCACCCCTGGCCTGGAGAGGAGAACAGCTGAAATCTTTAGAGGCATTAGGCCCTCCTGCCTCCAATGTATTCCGGGGCTAGGATTAGATAGTGGCAGCAGGGACAGCTCTTTGGCACCAACAAAAGAGGCATGGCTCCTGGAAAGCCCCCTCCCCGTTTTCAGCCAGCTCACCCATTGCCTCAAATTCCTTTAAGAAGATACAGCTGGGAGATACAACTTAGATCACAACACACCTGGGAGTCTGCTGGCAATCCACAGGTCTCTATCTCATTTCCCTCCCGCTTGAGAGCCACTTTCCAGCTGCTTTTAGGACTCCTCTGGCTGGATAGAGTAAAGCCATAAAAAACTAAGCTCTTCTTCTTCCCAAAACTGGAACCTCTCTAGAAACCCTATTTCTCTGTGTTCCACATCCACTATGACTCCAACATCTGCAGGCCCTGTTTCTACAGCGTCTAAGGATACCACAGTCTTTTCTGAATTCCCCTTACAATTTAGCTCCAGCCCACCTTACACCCCGTCCATTTCCACAGGGCTGTTGGAGTTATCACCCTGACGTGCACCTCTTACAGGACTCTGCCCAGAAGCCTTGTCATTCTTCCCTCCCCTCTACTTAGGTACAAATTCCTCCACCTCCATTCGCGCTGGCTTTTCTACCCAGGATGCTCTCTTCACACACCCCCTTCATCTTCATCGAATCCCTTCCCACCCGTGGAGGTCCACCTTAAATGCCACTTTTGATGTGAAGCCTTTCTTGCTCCTCCAATGAATGGGTATCTCCTCTGACTCCAGGGCCCTGAGTCACCTCTTATGGCATTTATGTCGTCTCGTGATAGACATCTGTGCCCTTGTCTCAGCCCCCTCTGGGCTGTAAGCATCTTGAGGCCAGGGCAGTCTAGAGCTTACAAATGGTGCGCCATAATTCTGGCTAATTGGCTGACTGCAGAAATGTACTGACCTACCTTTCCAGGAAAGCAGGTTTGGATAAGGAGAGAGCACAGGCCCTGACCTGTGGGGAAACGGGACACAAGGAAGGGCCTGTGGAGAATTAAAGGGCAGAAAGGGTTCTCAGAGCCCACATGGTGGAACACCCTCCTTTCACAAAGAGGGTAAGTCTCAAGGGAGGCAAGGGATTGGATGGGTTCCGTCTTATTTCTAGTGCATAAGAGCTTATCACACATACACCCTGCTTTCCCGCCATTTTTCGGGTATTGACCCCATGCCAGCCAAGGGTTAGAGATGCTCGAACATCTTTCCTGGGGTGTTCTGATTTCCATAGATCCCCGACTCTGTGATAATTGCTTGGGACCCAGCCTCGGCTCAGAGAGGACCTTGCTGCTGGGAGAGGGGGTATCAATGGTGGCCAACTGGAGGGTTCATCCCGCAAAGGGCTGTGGCTAGCCCATCCCCGCCCCACAGCACTCATGCCACACAAAAACATTTCAGAAATGTTTAATGCCACAGAGAAGTCCAAAACCTGCACAAAGCTGTAGCCACCTTGCTGAGTGCCTGGAGCTAGGACTGTCCCCGCAAGGGGACATCAGTAGGCAGGAGGCCTGCACAAGCCAAGGAAGCCGGGATGATTTGCTGACATCCTTTTGTCCTCTGCCCTAAATGCCTGAGGTTCCCTTCAGGGGGCGGGGAAAGAAAGAAGAGGAAGTGGGAAAGGAGTAGGAGGAGGGGGGCCTCTTCGGGGGGCCACTCTTCCTGCTTTCGGGTGATGACTCACGCAGCATGCCCCTGGTGGGACAATTCCTCCAGCCAGACTGAGGCAGGCCAAGCCTAAGGTTCCAGAAGGAGCAGAGCAACGTTCCTGGGGTGCAGTGAGCAGGAGGCATCACCAGCAGAAACTAGAAGGGAGGCCTGCCTTCCCCCTCCCGTTCCTTCTCACCGGCCTCCAACCCTTCCAGCTGTGCACAGGCCCACCTCAGCGCTGGCATTCGATGGCGGTCCACATCACCTCTGCCCCCCATCACTTTGGGCCTTTCTTAAGTACAACATTGTCATACTCGGTTCCCTGTGGCCAGCCAGAGGCAGAGAAGTCCTGCCCCATTGCATAGATGTGCTGGAGGCCACTGGGGTCCCGGTCATCTGTGGCCTGCCTCCTCCAGGCCTCACTCTGGGGCTCTTGGGGGCTGTCATACAGGGACAGGACGGCCACTCCCTCAGGCTCATCATATATGTGGTAGGGCCTGGAGGGTGGGTGCTCCTCAATGCTGTCATACAGAGGGTCGCCTGAGGGTTGAGGAGGAACTGCCAGGATGGCCCTCAAGCTCTTCCCCAGGTTCCGGGCCACCGCATCGAAAGGCACCGCGTATTCCCCCTCGGGGCCCCTTGCCCGGGGAGTGGGCACCGGGGCAGTGGGCGAAGGTGGTGGCAGTGAGTCATGGGGCCGGGAGTAGGGGCTCTCTGGCCGGGGCAGCACTGTGGGGACTGTCACTGGCTGGGTTTGGGGCCCAGGAGGGGCCGAGTTCTTCTGGGCAGAGATGGCCTCTTCCAGGGCCAAAAAGATTTCATTGCCTTGCCGGGTTTCAAATTCAAAGTTGCCCTCTCCTGAGATGCAGCGCCGGCCTGCCTCAAAGGAAAAGGTTACCTGTGTTGAGGGGGAAAGGGAAATGACTGGCCAGGCCACAGAGCGGGGTTGCTTCTCTAGCACACAGCTCCCAAAGGCAAACCCATCACCTCCAACTTTCGTCCACTAGGACCTGTCTGAGCCTTCTCCCCAAGGTGTTTCTCCCTCCGTCCCTCCATGTTTTTCCCTAGAAGCAAAGCCCTCTCTCACCTCTCTCTCCTCTCCATTCATCCTCCCTCCCACCCATCCAAGGGTGGAGCTGGGCACTACTTCACCCTCAGTAACCTCTGCCACCACTTACCCTCTGACTTCTCCACCTCTTCCTGGTCTCCTGCTTCCTCTCCACTTTTTCTCTCTCCACCTTCTCACACCCAATGCCTCTTCTTTGCTTTCACTCCTCCTCTCCTGGTTCTCTCCTCATCCCCTCCTTCCAGCCTTCACCTCCTCTTTCCTGCCTTCCTCCTCCCTCTCTCTCTTCCTTTCAGGGCCCATTGCCTTCTCCCTGACAACCCCATGGTTCATCCTTGCTCTCCCCCCACCCGCTGTGGCCCCTGCTCACCTTGTCGCGCCCAAAGCGTCGCAGGAACCTGTAGGGCCAGTAGTACAGCTGGGCACGTGGCTCAGGGCCACCCCACAGCTCTAGGGCACTCTTTCCTGTCCGGAGGGTGTAGGGTCCCCTGAGCCGGCACCTCTCACTGGCTTCTGTGGGTCTCACGGTCACAGCAAACTCCTTGCAGGGGGCCACTGGGGAAGGGAGGCGAGAAGAGAAGGCAGTGCATAGGAAAAGGCTGGCCTGCCTCCGCTCTGCCCTGCGCTAAGAGCCAGAGGTCTCTAGAAGAAGGACCATCCACACACCCATGACCCCAGAGCAGGCATCTTGAAGGCTGAGCTGCTCTGTGCCGAGCCACACTCCCCCAAATGCCACGTACCTCCCCCTTACCCTAGTAGGCATCATGCCCTAGCCACACGCACCCCGACCTTCTGCCCACATCCTTCCTGTACTTTTGCCAGAGCCACAGCCTTGTCTTGCCCTCTCAACCCGTCTCATCTCTCACCCCGACCCAGCTGCCTCCCCAGTCCTCACTGTCTCCCGTGCAGGTGTAGCCAGCCTTGCCCTCCCCGCCCTGCTGATGCCATCCGGTGCGCTCTGCGGGGTGGAGCTTGGCTGTCCCCCATATCCTCCTTCCCCCCTCCACACACACACACCCCCACCCAGGCGACTAGACAGATCTCAAGAGGGTGATTGCCTTGTCAGCAAAAGCTCCCTTGCCACAGGACACCTTCGGTCCACACAAAGAACGTCCTTCCTTTTTCAGAAGTTGCTCAGGTCCCAATGACACAGGGTTCAAGAGCAGTACTTCCCCATTCCCCTCAGCCCTGGCCTCTCCCACCAGCAGGGCCTGAGCAAGAGGGAGTGAGCCGAGGGTGAAGGGCTGACAATCCAGGCAGGCCAGCCTCCTCCACCTTGGGCCATACCCGGAAGTGATGCAAAGAGGCTGATAAGGAGACTGGCCGGGGCTGGGGGCAACCACAAGGCAGGAAGACTCAGCAGCCAGTGGCCGCACCTCCTCCCCACCACACCCCAGGGAGGACAGACAGAGAGCAGGCAGGCCCCTCACCTGTGGTTGTGCTGCTGTACAGTTCATTTTCCTCCATGCAGGGCTGGCTGCCCCTCCCCTCTGACCCCGATAGCACCTTCCTCCGATCCTAGGGAGGAGGCCAGGGTCTCACCACTGTCACCAACCCCCCCCACCCGCCCTCGGCCCAGGCCTTATTTCAGGGCCTATTGCCTCTGTTTGCATCTGAATTGGTGCCCCACCCCCACCCCCAGAAGGAACTGCAGCCAGCATCCTGACCTTGGCTCTTACAACACCTGCCCATAGCAAGTATCAAGTGCCCCTACTCCCACACACACCCTTGTCCTTTCTGTACCCCTGGACACTCACAGGGAAGGCTAGGAGGCAGATGGCCTGCATCCAGTCGCCACACTCAGCAATGGGGGCTGCCAGCAGGTACTGGCGCTCCTTGGTCTCCAAGAAGAAGGCGCTGGTGTCCCGGGGGCTGCTGGCCTCCCCGCCGGCCTCAGCCACCCGCAGACAGTCAGCGAGGCGGATCACCCTCCGGGCAGCTTCTCCCCGGCGCAGCTTCTCTGAGCCTTCCTGGAGCTCCAGGCGAGCCAAGGCATAGCCCGACTGTCCATACAGCACAGCTCCGAAACGGCGCCATTTCTGAACCCAGATGCATGGTGGGCGGAGGTGCCGAGAGGGAGCCACCCATAGATGGAGAGATGGTGACCGAAGGGGAGCAGAAGAACCATGGGTGAGGGACTGGGGCAGCAACGCAGGGATGGGGAGAGAAGCTAAGATCCCAGGAGACCCAAGGAAGCAAGAGACAATACCTGGGGCCTGAGGAATTAGAAAGCGACAAGGACCCACCACAAGCAACCGAGAAAGAGGCCTACAATGACAGCAAAGAGAATACCGAACACAGAAAAGGCCCAGCGGAAGGTGGACTGCAAGGAGGCCCAACCCACGAGATGGAGTCTAGAGGTGAAAAGCCTGCGAATCTTTGAAGCCCAGAGGTAGGGTGAGGAGGGTAGCGTGTGGGCCCTGACTGGAGAGCATCATTCTCACTCTGTACAAGGCCCTACCTCCAGAAACTTCCGTCTACCCTCCTGAAACTTCCCATAACAGGATGGAGAGAGAGAGAGAGAGAGAGAGAGAGAGAGAGAGAGAGAGACAGACCCTGGTGTGGGTCAGCTTAGGGAAGGAAGACTTCCTCATTCAAGGAGTCTAAGGAAGGAGGGGGGAGATTGGACACTGGACCCTGCCTGGCTCCCAGAGACCCCAGCTCACGTTTCACACCAGCCAAACACACCCCACTGGGGCGGGAAACGGGGAAGAAACCTCCACTGAATGATCTCTTCCACTGTTCCTTCCATTCCCTTCCAAGGTGACCCCATGAGAAGAAGTCACCGCAGAGCAAGAGAGGCAAGAGGGGGAGTTAGAGCCCTCCTGTACCTCCTCCCCCCACAGACAGCCGCGTCAGCAAGGAGCCCAGTTTGGGGCCTGGCTGGGGAAGCAAGCGGCTGCTAAAGAAAGAGCCCTTCCAAGCTTGAGGTCTAATGTGGCGGATGGCACCAGCCCATCCCACACCCCGCCCTCACCGGGAATGGCGAGCAGCCCCCGGCCCCTCTGCCCAGCCCCAGCCAGCCCTGCTCCCTACCTTTCCAAAAGTCTGCTGCTGCTGAAGGTACAGGAAGCCCTGCTTCACGGCCACTTCTTCCATCCTGCCACCATCGCGGTGCCCTGTGCTGCCGTGCACGCCTTCCACTCCTGCCCTCTTTCTCTCCTGTCTGCCCTGTGTGTGTTCCCCCTTCTCTCAAGTTCATTTCCTCTCTGCCTAGAGTTTTCTGCACTATTCTAGTTTGTTTGATGACGACAAGCTGATAGGCCCTGTGGTTTCTTGTTCTGTGTGTGTGCGTCGGCTTTTTTTTTTTTTTCTCTTTTTGATGAGTGAGCTTCATGCTCAAGCTTCCTGCATTTTCAGACAGTCAGAGATAATTTCCAAAAAGCCCAATGCCGGCTCTTCAGTGAGCAACAATTCAGGTACAGAAGCTGGGGTGGGGGTGGACGGGGAGGGGGTCAGCAGTGACGAATGGCTGACCCATAGGAACAAAGAGACCCAGAAACCAAATTTGACGGTACAGCCCAACTGCCGAAGGCCCTCATGCTCAAGCTGGGCGCTTAGCATGACAGAGCTGGAAGAGAACTTAGAAATCAACCAGCCCAACTCCCTAATGTTAAAAACGGGGAGGCGGAGGCTCCAGAAGGTCTAAGGGGCATGTTCGAGGCCACCAAACCAGAACCCAGGCCTCTCAACTCAGTAAGAGTGGAGCCACACACACCAGCCCCACTGGACACACGAGAGCTCACCACTTTCGCACACACAGCTCTGTTTCTCTCTATGGGGAGCACGCCCTGCCGCCTCCTCGCCACCCCACAACAGCACGCACTTACACCACCTCCTTAAGATTCCAGACCCATGAACATCCCTGCAGTGCAACATGCTGTGCTCCCAGAGCATCTCTAAACCGGTGCAGTTCACCACCTTACCAGGCTTTCGGAGCATTATAAAGATACATGAGTTTCACCTAGAGATTATTAAGTTACAATAACAATCTCATATATATATGTATGTGTGTGTGTATATATATTTAAATTGCTTCATGGTTACCAAAAGTGCTTCATAGTTCCCAAAGCTCCCAGGCACGCGCTATCACCAGCCACACTACCTATCCCTGTAAGAAGGAAGGGCAGGTATAAGTGCACCTGTTTGCAATTCTCCTGAGGTCACAGGCCTACTGGAGGCAGAGGAAGTACTGAGACTCCTAATCTTTAATTCAACGGTCCTTTCATTGCTGGCGTCCACCAAGTGGCGTCCCCCAAGTGGCGTCCAGGCTGCATGCAAGAAGATACATTGTTTGGGGAAACCCAAGCTCCCTGGAGAATATTTAACTTAGAGCCAGATGGTTTAGAGAAGCAATCTGATGGAGGCATCGTGCAGAATGGTTGGGGCAACTGGAGAATTAGACCAGCACTCTTGGGGTAACCCTATAATGGGGGCTTATGTAACAGGGCCATTTCCTCTACCACTTTGGATTCAATTGCCTTGGGAAGAACAGCAGAGCAGTGCATGTAAAGCTCCCAGCACTCATCCCTGCTGTCTGGACTTGAACAGGTTGATCCAGAGACCAAGGGAAAACCAAGGATACTGGTGTGGGGAAAGCTCCTTGGAAGTGGTTAGGAGTATGGAAATAGGACATGGCCTATTCCATCTCTCCAGTTTCTAAGGAGGGACCGCATTGCCTGGGAGCTGCGTCGTCTTTGGCCCACAACAGCATCTCCTTATAAAGTGAGAAGGGCTTTTAGGGTCATCCTGGGGGCTGATATGGCAGTGCCTTTCAAACTTGAATGTGCAGGTCTTGTTAAAGGTACAGATTCTGATACAGTAGGTCTGGAGTAGGACCTGAGATGCTGCTGCTGCTGGTGGGTGGGCCAGACCTCATTTTGAGTAGCAAGACAATACAGGATGTTTTTTCCCCCATCACTCTGATCTTCCCCCAAGATAAACGGGACACTTTCCACTCAGAACCACAGGGGGGCACCCGAGCTTACTAGATGACTGGAGAGCTCTTTAAACCTGGAGGCCTAAGCCCCAGGTATTCCAGACACCCCTATGCCCTCCCTTGCCTGTGGTAGCTGGGGACATTCTCCTGTGACTGTTTTCTGCAAAAGATAGGGCAGCAGCAGTGTCCTAAGAGCGACACCCCCTCAGGGCCCCTCCCATTTTCCCTGGCAGGACTTGTGGGGATCCTGCAATGGAAGTACTAACCCCACTACTTTCTGCCTGGCCACAGCCAACCCCAGTGATCATGGGCCCAGAAGACGTAGCTCCAAGACACACCAGAGGGCAGAGCATTAGAGGCCCTTAGGTTACCCAGGCACCAGTGATGGCAAGAGAAAGCATTATAACGAAAAGGGTCCCAGTAGAGAATGGAAATGGAGTCAATGGAATTGTAATAGATAAGCATGATATCAAGGGGGGGGGCAGTAGCTGGGGGGAGGGCGGTTGTTACTTTGTGAGGGTGAAAAGGATAACTATTGCATTGTTCTGTACACCTGAAACTAACAATAAAATAAAATTTAAAAAAAGAAAAAGGGTCCTGTGGTTTATATGGAGGCACAGGGAGGGTGTGGGGTGCCCCTTGGCTTCTTTGCTTTTATTGGAGAGGAAGGGACACCCCACACCTGTACCTCCACATAAGCCACCAGGATCCTTTCCTTTAACAATGGTTTCTCTCAGCAGGAACCTTAGGGATAAAAGATCTCAGCTCAGAGAATTTTGCAACTTTTTGTTAGTATTCTCACCAGTGATTAGCAACTGAATCCTTAACACAAAAGGGCTTGTGAGCTTGTCTTTGGGGGCAACAAGGGAAGGAGCAGAGGAGATTGTCTGATTCCTTGGGCTTGGAGACTAGGTAATCCCCAAATGATGGGCAGGAGAGAGTAGCTATCCAAGTGGTAGCTTTGGGAAACAGGAAAGAGGGTATAGAATGGGCAGGGAGCTGGCGTGAGCCTGAGAAGAATGGAGGACTGAGCAAAGAAATAAGTGAGCAGGGGTCATGAAAGATCCCATCCCTGCCTCTCACCCCGCAGTGGTTCCTGACTGTGGGGGAAGGAGGATAATACCAGTTTCCTGAGTGTCATTCCTAGTCTTTACTCTTTCTCTATTAAGTATGTCATTTCTCTCAGTACTAAGTAAACAGAGAACCCAGTTCTGGAAACTCTGAGAGGAAGGGCTTATAACATAATGTTACTTAATATGGACATAACACTTTAAATGCTTTATGTTTTCCTATGAGCCCTACATGTCCCTATAATAAGACTGAACCATAAAGAAGTTAGTTAACGCAAAATTATTTATTGAGCATGTACTCTGTACAGAGGTACTAGGGACACAGCATAAACAGGACAGACAGCATCTTTGTTTTCATCGTGGTTACTCTCTAGTTGGAGACCCTGACAATGAAAAGTGTAAATATGTAAATAAATCGTTTTGGACAGACAGTGATCTATGTTATAAGTATGACAGTAACGGGATCAGGGAGACAACTTCCAATAGAGTGGTGAGAAAAGCCTCTCTGAGATAACTGAACGAAGAAGTCAATAACAAGAGGGAATCAGCCACCTAAAGGTCTGAGGGAAAAATATTCCAGGCAGAAGTTACTTCGAGTGCAAAGGCCCTGAGGCAGGAGCACCTGGATGTGAGGAACAGCAAGAAGGCCAGAATGACCAGAGCACCTGAGCGAAAGCGGGCACAGTAGAGATAAGGTCAGATCACAGGACTTTTAAGCTACAACAAAGAATTGGAATGCATTCTAAATGCACTGGGTGGGCACTGAAGGATTTTAAAAGAGGGGCATAAATGATCTTACTTATGATTTTAAAAGAATGTTCTGCAGCTGTATATAAAATGGTTTATCGAAGGGCAAGACAGGAAACAGGGAAACTATTATAGTTAAGACTCTATTACCGGAGCCCAATAGAAATGTGATGGTTGCCTGAAAGAAAAGTAGCCAGTAGTAGATAAATATTCAACAGGACTTTCACGTGAGTTAGAGGTGGGGGACTATTAAGATAACACTTGGTTTTTGGTTTGAGTAACTGGGTGAATGGTGGTACCACTGACTTAAGAAGGAGAAGATAGAGGGAGAAACAAGTGTAGGGGGAGGGTAAGAGGGGGTAGATTTGGGCCTGGCCCACTGGGAGCAGCTACTTTTACCCAATCAGGTAGGTAGGGTATTGGAAAACTGCCACTGCAATTGTGACTCCAAGAATGTACCACTATAGCTGGGATGTCAAGGTCAGGAAGCACCTGACCCACCACCACTGCTCTCTATACTCAGGGAGCTTCCAATACTGGAAGGTTGCTGGAAACCAATAAAACAAAACATAACGAACAAAAAAACCCCACTACATTTCAGGAGCCTGGCTTGCCAGAAGCAGCAAATGCTCTGCCTCCAAAATCTCTGAGTAAATCTAATTGGCAGAACTTAACTTGCAGACAGAACCCTAGCTGCAAGGAAGTCTGGGTAATGTAGTTTTAGGTGCCCTACCTATGCAAATCCGGAAGGCACGCTAGGAGAAAGGTTGAAATGAACACTGAGCCCCAATCCAGTGTCCACGACAGAAAGTGTGTTATTCACTACCATCATCGTTTCCATCGCACATGGCTGCCCCCAGTCAATACTGCCCCCAGTCAATACAAACTTCAAATAACCAGTACTCTCAGAATGCAGCTAAAATCTAATCTGGGGCCCTTGACTGGAAGCCAGAGTGGAATCCAATGGAAAATAGGAACCTGCATTATCTAACACAGATCATTTCTAGTGGGAAGGACTGGAATTGGCCTCAGCAGGCAGGGAATGACCTGATCTGACCCAGAAGGATGGCTCTCTCACTCAGACTGAGTCCAGGGGTCCTAAAAACTCCTTTATCTCCCCCACCCCCACTTGGCAGCACCTGACTGCTCTTAGGAGGCAGTCTAGGGTACTGGCTAAAAGAACAATCTATTTGGGAAGACTGGAATTGTGTCTTCTGCATGTTTCTATCATCACCACTATTTAATGGCTATTTACATGAACATCTATGGAGGAGACCCAAATAGACATGAAAACAAGATCACTACTTGGGTAGCAGATAAAACCCAGGATCAGGGAGCATGGCCCTTGTCCACTGGAGCAGAAAGCTACAAGACTCAAACATCAACTCGGCCGCCAGATTAGAAAGTCATGAATAACGCAGGCATCCTAAGTGGGGTCATGGGCGGTGGGCGCAGCAGCAGACCC